CTGCTGTGCTTTCTTGGCCAGTGCTGCGGTGTTGTCAGTCCAGGAGAGATCCTCTGTGATGTGCACACCCAGGAACTTGGTGCTGCTCATCTGAACAACACAGTCCGGAACGCTTTTGCTGAGCCATGTTTCCGTGAACACAATAACACAACAGTCTCTTACAGTCCTCTGAGTTGAGCGTAGTAGTCGGATGTAGTCCAGTTTATTGTCCAAAGAGCGTACGTTAGCCAGTACGATGGTGGGGATAGCTGGCTTGTGTGGGTTAGCCGTTAGCCTAGCCCGGATACCTCCGCGCTTACCCCTCTTCTGCTTCCTCTCACGCCGCTTGTGGCGCCTCCGCTGTGGGCGAGATGCAGTAGTGGGGGTCGGTGATGGTGTGGGCCTCCGGAGCAGACCGAGATCCCGCAGCTCTTCGGCGTGCGCGGAGTTTAACTCTAAAAATGTGGTTCTGTCGACATAAACTCACGACTGTATGCGCGCTTAGAGACAGGTAGACGCGATGAAGACATACGAAAACACTGCGACTCACAAGACAAAAAACACGAAAACACCGTTCTGACGGGAGAGAGAGAAGCCGCAGCGTGTGCACGCGCCGCCATGACAACTAGCTGAATCAGATGGCGGCAGGGGATGGGGAATAAGCGGGCACTTCGCCTTAGGATTCAGGTTACTTCGACTGAAGTGATGACGACTTTCTTCGCTGATCTCCGCTGACTGAAGAGCCTGCTCGCTGTTGACACGGCTCGCAGAGGAAAAGCGACCGCTCTGCTCGGGTGATTCGCCGCCTTCAGTGCCGCACAGCAGTGGTCCAGCTTCCCCTGCCGCCATCTGGCGAGCCTTACTAAGAGCAAATTTCTAGAGCAAATTTTCGCAGCGTTGCTTCCGCCCCTTGCGCCCAGGCAGGAGCCTGTGAGGAAAACGCAGAGGGGCAGGGGATTGCAGCGCTCGGATGCGAGCGAGCTCACGTCGCATGTGCCTTGCTCTCTCCCCACAGAGAGGCTTCCCCCGTCCTCTTCTCCCAGCCTGACCAGCGTCCCTCTGCCAGCGCGAGCGATCTGGTCTTGTTCGGTGGGAGTGATGACGAGCTGCTGGATGACAGCATGTCATTAGCAGCCTTGGACGCAGAGGAGCTGTCAGGCTCGACTGCCGCCCCCGCCCCCCTGCCGTCGTCCGAGCCCAGCGACGTTAAGCCCGGGATGGACGACGAATTACTCCATGTCCTCTCAAAAGCCGTCGAGGAGCTGGGATTGGAGTGGTCTCCACCGGAAAAGCCCTCCCGCAGCCGTCTGGATGAGTGATTCCTGCCGGGGCGCCGTCAAGCCCCTCGTCAAATACCCTCCCCTTTTTTACCGGAGGGCCATGACGAGCTCACCAGGATGTGGCACACTCCATACTCTGCACACCTCCGTACTTCCGCTTCATCCGCCCTCACTTCGGTGGACTGCGCTGAAGATAAGGGATACGAGAAGCTGCAGCGAATACTCAGTGGATGGAATAGGGCGTCCCACTGGGAATGGTTTGCAGGAGAAAGGTGGTTTCGACAGATGCATCCAACTCGGGTTGGGGAGCTCTGTGCAAAGGAAAACTGTCTTTCGGCCACTGGTCGAAAGCGGAGGACGGTCTTCATATCAACTACCTCGAAATGCTGGCGGTATTTCGGGCCTGTCAAACCTTCCTACCGGACCTGAGGGGACACTACGTTCTGGACCGCTCAGACAGCATGACTGTGGTGTCCTACATAAATCGCCAGGGAGGGCTTTCCTCGAGGCGACTCTTAGTGTTGGTGGAGCGCCTCCTGGAATGGGCTCAGCTCAACCTGCGCCCGCTGAGAGCAGTGCATGTTCCAGGCAAACTGAACCAAGGAGCGGACATATGTTGTCACGAAGCAAATTCCCTTCAGAAGAGTGGATGCTTCATCCGCAGACGGTTCAAAAAATTTGAGAGATCTTTGGCAAGGCGGAAGTGGAACTCTTCGCCTCAAAAGACAACTCTCATTGCCCAATTTATTATTCCAGGGACAAGGGCCACGACTGGCCCAACCTCCATCTCTATGTTTTTCCCTCGATCGCCCTGATCCCGCAAGTAATCAGACGAATCAGGGAACAAGAACGCAAGGTTCTCCTGCTGGCCCCGCTCTGGAGAAACCAGCATTGGTTATCAGAGCTGTCGCAGCTGCTCATAGTAGCCCCATGGCCCATTCCCCTGAGGCGGGATCTCTTTTCTTAGGCGAACAGGACGAGATGGCACTCCCAACCCGAGCTGTGGGCTCTGCATCTTTGGCCACTCGACGGGCACCTGCAAGCCTCCAGAGTGTGTTCTAAACACAATTTCTCAGGTTAGAGCTCCGTCTACAAGACGCCTCTATGTCCTTAAGTGGTCTGTGTTCTCCGCCTGGTGCTTAACCCGCAGCGAGGACCTGTCTGTCTGTCTGTCTGTGACGTATCAGTGATATTGTCCTTCCTGCAAGAGCTGATAAGGGGCGCTCCCCATCCACGCTCAAGGTCTATGTAGCGGCTATAACGGCTTCTCATGCCCCTGTAGCAGGCCAGAAACAACCTTGTTGTCCGTTTTCTGAAGGGGGCTAGGAGGCTGAATCCGCCCCGTCCCCTCACTGTCCCTACGTGGGACCTGTCCACTGTTCTGAGGGCACTGAAGGGTCCTCCCTTTTGAGCCGCTGCAGTCTGTTGACCTTCGGTCCCTGTCATTGAAAACCGTTCTGCTGCTAGCTTTAGCATCGTTCAAACGAATGGGTGACTTGCAGGCGCTCTCTGTGAGCCCTACCTGCCTGGAGTTCGGGCCTGGCGACTCTAAGGTTGTCCTGAAACCGAGGCATGGTTATATACCTAAGGTGCTCTCTACTCCATTCAGGGCACAGGTCATTTCACTCTCTGTGCTTCCTCCATCAGAAGAGGACCAGGAGTTGGATTTACTCTGCCCCGTCAGGGCGCTGAAACTTTACAGAGCGTTCCGCCCTGTTTAGGCAGTCTGAACAGCTCTTTGTTTGCTTCGGTGGCCGCGCTAAAGGGCATCCGGTCACGAAGCAGAGACTTTCTAAGTGGGTAGTTGATGCTATTATGCTAGCCTACTCTTCCTTGGGCCTGCAATGCCTCATTGGAGTACGAGCCCGTTCAACTAGAGGCGTCGCCTTTTCTTGGGCATGGTCTAGTGGCGTGTCCATTGCAGAAATTTGTGCGGCAGACAGTTGGGCCTCGCCGTCCACATTTGCTAGGTTTTATAACCTGGACGTCCCTGCCTTGCAGGCTAGAATTCTTTCTGCATAACTGTACGCAGTACCGCTCTGAGCAGGAGTGCAAGTCTTCTGGAACGATCACTCAGGCCGGGCGTGACCTCTGTGAGCTTAGCCCGTTCGCCTTGGGAGGTGTTTGCTATTCTTGTCCCCTTGGGTCCTGAGGTGCCTAGGGCAAGAATACACTTGTAGTCGTTCCTCTGCCATAGCACGGCATGATTGTACTGGTTCCCATAGAGTCTTAGCAGACGCAGTATGAGTGAAGTATCGATAGGGAACATACTTGGTTACAAACGTAACCTCGGTTCCCTGAGATATGGGAACGAGTACTGCGTTGCTAGCCATGCTATGCAGCTGCACGACTCAGTCGTCGCTTCAGTCAAAGTAACATGAATCTTATGTCGAAGTGCCCACTTATATAGTCGGATGGCCCCGCACATTCTGGCGGGCTTCGACAGGCTTCGTGGCCATAGGTTCATGCAGCACCACTGCCGAGCCATTGGTTAGTTTTTTTAAGTGTAATGCACAAACCAATGGCAGTGCAGTTACACTGTGTTATTGAAAAAAGCTTCAGTTCAGGAGAAAAAAATTCTTTTTCCCATAGCGTCTTAAGCCGGGCTCACACTGTGCGATTTTTTTAAAGTCCTTAAGGATTGTACTTGTCAGACTGTACGAACATAATGATCATGTCACACTGTGGGATCTCAGTTGTCATTAATGTCAGACTGTACAACAGTCAAGACGCGTTAAAAACAGGTGCGCACAAGAAAACTTGTCCGGAGTTCTACATTATCAACCCATACACGTTTAGTGACTGTGAGCTGCATTGCACGCGGGGCTGTAATGTTGGCTATCATTAAAAATATATGAATGGCGGCAATACCGGCGTATTTAAGAAGAATAGTGTAAGCAGCACTACACTCCCACATGAAAACAGCAGCGCAACTGGTGTTTATCATAGCAAAGGCAACGTATTATATGAATTCCGTAAGCGGAGGACGAGAGCGCCGGAGTTTATGCGGTTAAGAAATCTCTAGAATTAATTCTGATCATGGCTTGTCTTGAAAAACGAAGACAGTTTGACGTTCGTCGTAGGAGAAGTCACACTGCAGGACTGTGTGCCAAATCTTGTCAAATTTGATCGCAACGGCAATTAATCGGCTGTCTGTGAACATGTCAAACTAACGATTAAAGACTACTTATTTTAGCCTAGGATTGTAGGAATCTTTTAGGATTTTCAATATATATATATATATATACACATTCGAGCACGTAATAACCATAGCTAACTGCTGTAGTGTCAACATGACAAGCAGTCATTCAAGACAGAACATAGCACTTTCCGCTACTAAAGTGGTAAACTTTTCAGTGGTAAACTGTTCATTCTTGGTTAAAGGAAAACAAAACATTGTTTTTTTTTCTTTTTGTTTGTTATTGGGGGTTTTTCCCCAGGAGAACAGGATTTTCCAGGATATTTTACATTTTCTATAATTTTTTCATGGATTATTCAGTTTTTCAGGACTGAAAAATTACTCATCAAGTCTCCAGGTTTTTCATGACAGCCTTAGTTCACACTTTGCTTAAAAACAATGGTAATATAAATGTCAAACATGCTTCTAAGGTAAAAAACATGCTCAAGACAGCCCAAATACTGGATACACTTTGCAAATTCTTTCAAATTGTCATTAAAACATTCAGCATGTGCCGCTTAGAATTCAAGTCCTATGGTGCTTCTGGGGTGTGGTAAACTTACGTGGGTTTCTCATTGGTGATGAGCACTTTGACCTTATTGAGGGCTTTTTTGGCACCGGTGGGTTGAGCCACAGCAGGTTTGCTATGGGCAGGGCTGGAATGAGGACTGGCGATATAAACCTTCTTACCTCCACTGCCCGGCGGTTTAGAGTGTGAGAAATCTGTGATAAACACTATACCCTCACTGGTCAGCACTATGACAGAAAAGAATAAATAGCAAAAATTAGAAAAACTGTTTAGCAAATTGGTATTTACTTCATTAAACTATATTACACCATATATCATGCAACATTTAATAATAACTTTTACTAGTGATGCACAAGACCAGTTTGTACTGAGCAAAGATACAGCAACCAGTACATCAGCAAAGCTGAAAGGTTCAGTGTAGTACAGTTAGACTAAGTGGAGCGTCATATAATGTTAAAAAGTAGTACATTGTTTTTGTTAAATTTATTTATTAATTTATTCAAACGTAGTATCCCAGCTGTGTGAATCGCTTTAAACTAATCAAAGAGAAAGACCAAACTCAAAAGATTTGTTCGCAATTCAAATGTCACTTCCAGCAACTGTATCTGTGCATCCCTAATTACTTTTATGAATATAATATGATAGAATACACACATGCCAGATTGGAGGGCTCAAAGGGGTCAAAGGAAAAAGACAGGATGTTCTCAGCATAGCTCTTCTTCCACAGCTTGGTGCCAGTGTCTCCGTTCCACAGAACAATATAGTTGGGAGGGTGGACAGCCAGAAGAAGATCATGAGAAGCATCCTGAGCCCACAGCCAGTCCATATCTGATGCAAGGTATCAGTATATATGAATATTAATATCAATGAAAATGTTGTAATATTTTAACGGTTAAGTATTTATACACTAAGGTAGTTTATGCTGCGCTGCCTTTAGCATATTACTAATTTATATAAAAAAATATAATTATATTACAGCAATTTTTGAAGTAACGAGGTAAATAATTACTGTATTACACACTAATGACTATTTAATGAAAATCACCATGAAAATGTGAATAATTAAGCAGGAGTGTATGCAGGAGTCCGCTATAAATTCATAACTGCCATTGATAGTTAAAAAGATGCATATATACTATATATTATTTGATATATAAATTTATGTAAAAAGTCCATACGTGGACATAATTTGTATCTGTCCACAGAACTAATTTCTAAAGTTCATACCTAAAGTTCATGATAAATATTAACTAATTTTGACTGGTGGTCTAAATAAATATCAACCATTCAAATAAAATCATATATAATATGAATAATACATAATATTCCATATATCATTTGTTTTTCCCAATTTCTTGGTTAACCAGCACAGAGTTTATTTTAACACAAGCTTAGTAAATAGGGTTCTTACCCTGAATAGGTTTGGTGTGTTCCTGGATCTCACAGTGTGCCATACCACTCACCACATCCCACACAATAATCTTCCCTGCTGCATCTGCAGAGGCCAGGCGCAGAGAGTAGGGTGAGCTGAGACTGTGGTGATAGTTTTCTCTGGACCATTTTACCTAATGAAGTAAAAATAGGACACAACAACAAAAACTAGGTTTTACCATTTGTATATTCTGATGCAGTTGCTAAAGTGTTGTGAGTGATCGTAAGAGTGTTGCGAAGAAGTTGGTCCAGTCAAAAGAGCCCACACCTAAGATATCCTTAAGTATTCATGGCCTCATCTTTTTCAATTATTGTTTAGAAAAGTAATCACACATCACTCCTTAAAAAGCTACATGATATGAGGTATAATTCAAGTAAGCAGCATAAATGATACAGGACAGGTTATGCTGTGAAGTTTTAATACTCTGGGTTAGTGATATGAATAATCCCCTAACCCAGTGTTTAAGCACTAGTAAAGCACCACTGAACTCTAATCACTTAGAAAAGTAACCAAGTACAACCAATAAACCATTAATCAATCAATCACTAAAAACATAAATGTATGTTAAGATTTTATCCACAGATAGTAAAAATTAAAATTCCAGACACAACGTCTATACCTAGGGAGAGGCTTTTGTGACAATCAATAAAATGTGGGTGCTAAAGACCAGAACATCAGTGTAAATTGTGTTGCTTCATGTGTTACACATTGCCATTATCTACACCTGTATTTTTGCAACTGTTTTTGATATGCCTGTTTCACATGGTATAAAGGATTAAAGTGCACTGCAGGGACAGAAAACAGATGCAGAGAGCAGGGCATTGTACTGCTGGTAAATGCAGGCTTGTGTACAGCCTATGCACCTTTTTCCTACACCTCATGACGCTTTGCTTGAATTAAGGGAGCAACTTCCATTAAACTGTAAACAATCAGCGAACGATTTGCTTTAAGAATGCAATAAGCATTTTCAAAAACTGGGTACAACAAGGCCACATCCTACTCACCCTTCAACCATCGATTATTAAAAGTAAATTTAAAAGTTAAGTTAACAACTTTATTAATCCCACTAGGGGCAATTAAAGTAGGGCAGTAGCATCATATAACAAACTTAATACAAACATAATATCACATAGACAACACAAAAAAAAAAAATAAGTAAAGACACAACCCAACATGTTTCATAATAAATTCCATACATAAACAATAACATTTTACATTTAGAATCTTTAAAAAAAAAAAAAAAAAAAAAAAACCTACTAAAACTTTAAGTTGCAAATACGAATAGCCTCTGGAACAAAAGTGAATTTATATCTATTAGATGAAAATGTTATGCTTCTAAATCTCCTTCCAGAGGGCAATACTTCCAATTTAACTTTCAAGGGGTGAGAGCCATCTCCCGTGATACTCGAGTTTTTCTTATCATTTGTTGCTCGTAGAATTCTGCTAGACTCCGCAGAGGCACACCAATAATTTTAAAAGTATAAAGGCATTAACAAATTACTACAACAGGCCATGAATAACCCCAAATGATTTATTATTTTTCCAGCAATATAATAAAAATGTGAAATACCACTGTAGTAATATATTATCTGTTTTATATAACATATGGTGCCTTTATCAAAAATGTTTATTAACTGGAACATTGAGTGATTATATAATATTTTAAAGTGATTTTTGTCATTTTGACACAATAAATATTGAATTTACTTCAAAAACATTTCAGTAAACACTGTTAATAGGGATAAGAAGTGAAAAGGGCAGACAATTATATTTCAAAGCATCGGTGTGAAACTGAAAACAAAACTGGGAAGAGATTTGGGGAGAAAAACGAGAGATTCTTAGTGCATTACAGTTAATTATTAAAGGGATATAACAAATTAAATTGGTAGAAATGTGCACTATATGTTGTCTGCATTCCATATTGTTATAGTGGAATACAAAGAAGAAAATATTCAGGAGGAGAAGAATGCAGAGCTCTTGCCATTGATATTCTTTTTATACCATGTCACATTAAAATACCAAGCATTACACATCATTCTCCTGACTTCTGAAATAGAACATGAAGGAAAATTTACAGCTCATTCATTCAAACTGACAGATTATTTGTAGTTAGTATTTGTTTCAGTCTTTTTGAGTGGAACTTCCCCAAAACGGAAGTGCCTCCCATAATTTAATAGACCAGACTATGAATATAATATTCAAATATACATAACAGTAAAAGTTGTTAATTGCTGGTGCACCTTTTGACACTTCAATTTCCAGGACTAGAAGTTCCTGACTAAAACAACTGTCCGATAAAATAAATTAGAGCCAAGCATAATGGGGGGAGGGGGGATTGTGAATTTACAATATTAAACTTTCCATTACTTTTAAATATTTTATTACTTTCCGTGAAAATCAATCATATTTGCAGGTCCATAACCATGGGAAAACTAGGGCTGTCACGATTCCTCGATTACATTAGAGTACTCTTTTATAAAAAAATCTTTTCACTCCCATTGCAGAATTTTCCATCAATGGCATTTTACCCTTGTCGATTAACCGGCAAAATACCGGAAATGGTGCATTCCACGGACGAGAATCCATGAATAGCATTATTAGACCGTTTTCTAAGGCACGAAATATTAAAACCATTTAAAAATTATACTAAAGCATAATGCTGTTGTGAATTCACAAAATCGCAAAGGCTGCAATTAAATTACATAAATATATGCATTGCAGGTTTAATATGTGCTTTATTTAAATGTGTGTTACGTGCATCTCAGAGCGACTGTTCACAGTAAATGCTGCTCCACACAAGTAGTTGTCATTTACATGCGCAGACAGTCTCAAACTCCATCTTTGCATATGCTGTGAGTCTGAGTTGCTTATAATGTTCATCTGCGAACAATGTGCAGCATTCTATCAGATATATAGATAAATCATTTATAAACCTACGCCAACGCAGGAGAATACATTACTATCTTTCTAAATATGCTAACTGTTCATCGCAACTTAAGAATAAAAGTTTAAACCCTCGCTCTGAGTTTGCATGTTGTGATGTCCACATGTTCTTGTTCGAAAAATGACAGTGGCTGTAGCATTTCTATCATAAAGAAGTGGCAAAATATTAAAGATTAAGTGGACAGTTGAATTAAATGTTGTTTAGTCAATATTAAACAAAGATTAGATCACAATGTAAACTGTAAAAACAATCGCCAGGCCATTGGCCCCCTCTGCAGGCATTTGATATAATACACAATGTACATAAGTTATGATTATATTGTTTTATTACATTATGTATTTTAACCGTTTTGTTCAATAAAACTGTAACAAAAATCATAGTTCGGGAAGGAGGAGGCGGGAACCGGCGAACATTCAAACAAAACTTTAATAATAAAATAAACACAAAATAGCGCGACAGCCCCTCACAGACGACTGCCATGCACAAACAGAACCAAAACACAAAATAAAATCCAGGCCTGGTCCTCTCTCCTCCAACACTGTCGTCACTCCTCCTTTTATCCTTCTGGAGCTCCTCCGTGGGACTCGAGACCAGTGAGTGGCGCAGGTGTCGCGCATTAGCATTTACTCCACCGGCCTCGCTCCTTTCCCACGGCTCTCGGCCCTGCCCCTCTCATATTAAGTCATTTTAAAGTCTATTGTTCGCTTAGGTGTATTTAATTAATCGTCAGAGTAATTGACCGATTACTCACTCACCAAAATAATCGTTGGTGAGAGCCCTAAAACCAACTTAATGGCACTTGCAATGCTTTACGAGAATCCACAATAAATGGCGAGCTCCGTTTGCCATGATATTTGTTATTATAACATCAACTTCTCTGATGGTAAATGTTCTTTTGGTATTATAGCAAATTAACCAAGGAAAGCACATGTCTACTATTCAACTTTCTGTTTTGGTCAACTGAACAATGCTGTGTGACAGTGTGACAGTGTGTGAACAAACATTTAAAACCCACCTTGACCACACTTGCTTTGTGTCTCTCCAGGACCTGAATGGTCTGAGCTGTTTTTGGATCAATGATGAGGATATCTGAGTGACAGCCTTGAGCAATCAGTCCCTGCCATCCCCTAAGCAGAGAGAGAGGAAACGGATAAGGAACATGCAGTGGATACAGTATCAGAGAGAATCTAACAATGCCAAAGCTGAGAAACTACAATCATGTATAAACACATTTACTAAACGGTTCATATAATAAAGCCCTATTACTTGTTTTTTTTTCTTCTCCACATTAAAGTTATGAATGAGATTGGAGTGTTTAAAAACCACAACACAAATAACTTAAAGGTAGGGCTGGGCAGTATGGCCAAAAATATTATATTAATGTTTTTTTTCTGTATCATACAATATCTGTATTGACTTGAAATGAATTTAATTGAATACTTTATAGTCATTGTACAATGTTCGTACAACAAAATTCAATGTGCAACTCCTCATGGTAGAAAAAAAAAAAAAAAAAGAGTATAATCATGATATTCATTTGCCATTAACGGAGAAGGGAAAGTTTTGCACATGTACAGTTAGGTCCATATATATTTGGATACAAGCACAATTTTTATTATTTTAGCTGTTTAGCAAAACATTAAAATGCACACTCTCAGCTTTAATTTGAGGGTTTTCACATCCAAATTGGAGGAAGGGTTACTACAGCTCTTTAATAAAAATAATTGGACAGTTGACTCAAAAGCTGTTCTATGGACAGGTCACAGGTGTGGGCTATTCCTCATCAATTAAGCACGTAAAAGGTCTGGAGTTGATTCTAAGTGTGGCATTTGCATTTGGAAGCTGTTGCTGTGAACCCACATCACACGGTCAAAGGAGGTCTCCATGCAAGTGAAACAGGTCACCATTAGGCTTCAAAAACAAAACAAATCATAAAGAGTGAAGGAACATTAGGAGTGGCCAAATCAACAAAAAAGTACACACTGGTGAACTCAGCAACATAAAAAGGTTTGGAATCCCATGCATGGTAAAGAAAAACCCCTTCACAACATCCAGTCAAGTGAAGAAAACTCTAGCAGGCGTGTCACTGGTAGGCGTTTCATTAGCTATGTTTCCATCCGCCTTTTTTATGTGCATTTTGGATTATCGCATAAAAAAACCGCTGGATGGAAACGCCAAGATGCGCATAAATAGGGCTGGGCGATATAGCTAAAAAATATATCAACGATATACGTTTCATATCTTTCGGTATCGATAATTATTGACATTTTTTATAACCTTTTTTAAAACAGACCAATAGAAAAAAAAAAATTTTAACCACTGCATTTTTAATTTGCCCACTTTATTAAGACAAACAACAAATATATATAGGCATATATATTATTTTTTAACAGTCAAACACAAAATAAAATTTAAACAAATATCTCCTTTCTTATGTTTTATATTCATGCACAGCAGGGTAAGTGAAATTTGAAAATAATCTAATAATTATAAATCAAACAGCTTATCCATAAATCTTGTGGAATAAACACAAGACATTAGCCTGACCACTTTGCAATGATAACATTCTCCCGCTTATATTTTTAGCGCGCCAGGCTACTGCTCACACATCGTGGGTCTAATCTACGCCTTGGGCCTGGCAAGAGCCAGAGATGCTGAGCTGAGCCATACATCATCAACAACACAAACAAAGTCCTCCTGCACGAGTCTACCACAGCAGTGGCACAAGCCAAGGGGTAACAAAATAAGGGCAGTGCCAATATCATCGGTAGTTGTCGCTAAAGCCAATGAAAACCGTATGCGGCGACCAATTCCACCACCCCGTCCAAACTTTTAGGATACCGGGTATCAGATTTGCACAATCCATACGCACAATGCTTCGGCATGTTTCCCTCGCTCGAAAGCTTGCCAGACCTCCCGCGCCTAGTTACGGTTGCTAAGCCACGATTGGCCTGTGGCGGTTTTCGGGCGTGGCTTAGCGAAGGGTCAATTGATAGAAAAAGACATCCCAGATTGTACTTCAAATTTGAGGCCTTTTACTTAGTATTTTAATTAGTGATGCACCGATCATAGCTGATTCAGAATTCAGATTTTCTTTTCTAGCCCGTTAGATGTAACGCGTTGTCTGGGATGGCTCCGTTCAGCCAGGTTTCCGTGAAGCAGAGCGCAGCGGAGTTTAAAAAGTCCTTGTTTGTGCGGGTGAGGAGTCGTAGTTCGTCTGATTTATTTGCTAGGGAGCGGAGATTCGCCAGATGAATGCTCGGCAGCGGAGTCCTAAAACCGCGCTGTCGGAATTTCACGAGCGCGCCAGCGCGTTTCCCTCGCTTGCGTCGCCTGGAGCGCTTGTATAGGAACGCAGCTCCTCCGACTAAAATGTCCAGTAAAACATCTGAATGCTCAAATGTCGGCAGAAAGTTATTTGGTGTGCTATTTCTGATGTCCAGGAGTTCGTTCCTAGTAAAGCTGATCGGGAAAAAATTGCTTAAAACAGGACAAACAAACAAAAAAAGTACAAGTACCAAGTAGCGACAAACCATGGCTGCCATCCGCGGTGCCATCTTGCCATTAGAAGAAAATCTTGCCATCTTCTAATGGCCATCTTGCCATTAGAAGAAAATGCCATTGCCATCTAAACTTTTCTCAAGACAGTACCCTTCAGTGATGCATCGCGATCGACGGGTTGGCGACCACTGCTTTAGAGAAAAGTATTATCTTTCCTATTTTTACCCAAAATAGGGTGTTGTGAGCATTACTGAGTACACACGTAATGTAATGACTGTTTAATTCATACTGGACTCCGGAGGGCGCCCTTGCGCAGAAACTCCACATATGCATAGTAGAAGTAATGCTCCAGGAAGAAGTATCCAGTGATCGCTGTAGCTGAATAAAA